ACCCTCCCTAGCATGACGTCACTCTCCAAGAACTGGTCCCACCTTGCAACGTGCCCAAAGTATGTCAGACGAAGCTTCAGAATCCTTGCCTCCAAGGAGCAGCCTGGTCCCACCGTCTCTAAGACAAACCTCTTTGTTCTCCTAGCAGTCCATAGTATATTCAATATGATCCTTTTCTGCAGAAGACCAGATATTAAATCTTTTAGGTGTTCTGAGTTAGACATCTATGGCCTCCATCACAGCTCTTCAGCTTTGCCATTTTAGCCTAAATGAATCCATAGACAAAAAATAAATAACAGAACATGGCTGTGTTTATAGCAACCTTTATTTAGACAAGTAGGATGTGGGCTGTATTGGGTACTGAGAGCTCATCTTTGCCTTAGAGCGTGGCCAACATATTAGGATTCTCCTCCTTCTTGACCTCAGAATGTCAGAGGGCTTTACACTTACATCTTAAGTTTCCCCATGCAAGCTACTACTAACCAAAAGACAGTTCTAAGAAGCAAATAACGTCATTGATCAATTGTTCTACTTTGGGATGTTTATTGGTTGACTTCCCAGCCTTTGGATATGCCATAGAGTGAAATCACAGCATTCTCCTCAAAGAAAGAAAGATCGTGTCATGTAGATTTGCATACCTATGTTAGGCTATATATATTTGTGTTTCCCAAAAGCAATTTCTCTCCTTTCAGCATCCATCCCAATGAGAAAGATGAGTCATCCTAGACCTCTCCCTTAAAGAAAATCTTCATAGCTGCCTATCGGATGCCAAATCCTAAGACCTAAATGAATTATCATCTCCTGATAATGCTGTGCTGTCTCCAGACACATTGCTACTATTCCATTTCAGGACCTCGTTCCCTCTTGCTTGGAATTCTCTAACATCTTCCTAATAAGTAGTCTCCCCTCTGCTAATCTTTCCCTTACTGCCTTTCTCTCTAAATTATTAGAGTCAGTTTATTATAATTCAACCCCCTATGATGCTCCTCTGCTTGCAAATCATTCATTATTCCTTAAAATATCAAAGTCCTTAACATTTTCAGAACCCTTTGTTATGTTGTCCTTGCAGTTTCTCTTTTATGTTTTAATATTTTTATACCCATCACTGTTTCCACACATTCTGTACTACAACCATACTGAACAATTGTTTTATAACTCTCCGTCTTCCCATTCTAGCTTGCCTGCCTAACATAAGTCTGTCACAGAAGTTTCATCAAGACCCAACTTAGTCACTAAACACCTGCTCAGGAAATTGATCATTTACCCGCCATTATTGCTGTTGTTAGGTGCCATCAAGTTGACTCACATCATAGTGACCATAGCAACAGCAGACCTGAACTCAGTCCTAACATGTGCCATCCTCACAATCTCTGACGTACTTAAGCTCATGGCTTCAGTCACTGTGTCAATCCATCTGGTTGAGGATCTTCCTCCCTTTTGTCTTCCTCCCATCTTCCCAAGCATGATGTCCTTCTCCAAGGAATAGTCTCTCCTAGATATATATCCAAAATATGTGAGATGGAGCTTTATCATTTTTGTCTCCAAGGAGCACTCTGGATGCATGTTCTCCAAGATTGTATCTGTTTATTCATTTGGCAGTATATTTTATATTCAGTCCTCTTCTCTAATGGCACAATTCAAAGACATCAATTATTCTTTACTTCTTACTGTCGACCTCTCAGATGCATAAAAAGCACACACACACACACTTCAGTCCTCAAACTACCATCATTGCTCCTCGGTAATTTGGAGAGGTCCCTGATTGCAGACTCTCCTGGTGCAATATGTTTCCTGATCTCCCAACTGCTGGTACCAAGTATATTGAATATGGATCCAAGTAAGATGAATTCGCTCCCCTTGTTGTTGCTATGTGCTGTCAAGTCACTTGTAACTCATAGCAACCCTGTGTACAACAGTTCTGAACTCTGCTCTACCTGGAGCCAATTTCATTACCTCAAAGACACCCACCTACCCGCATTACCCTAGTCAGTGAGTGAATTCATCTCACCCAAGGTCTTTCTCTCTTATGTTGTTACCCTTCCAAACATGATGTTCTTCTTTAGGGATGGCTCACACCTAGCAACATGCAAATAGTGTAGAATATGAAGCCTCTAGCTTTCTTGACATAACCTTAAAAACATCCAGAGCAGCATTTATATTTTTAAATACATTGATTAGTATTCCGTCAATTTCTAGGGCCTTATTTTTAGCCTAGTCCTTCATGGCAGCCTGAACTTCCTGTCTCCTTCATCACTGTTTCCTCTTGATCATATATGTTGTTTCTTGAAATTCTTCTGTGTCAGGTTATTCTTTTTGGTACAGTAACATTGTATACTTCTTCCATCTTTTTATAATGCTTCCTGGCTCATTCAGTATTCTGCCTATATCTTCCTTTAGTATTGCAACTCAAGGCTTGAATTTGTTCCTTAGGTTTTGTTTTTGTTTTTCATTTTAAGCAGCAGCATTAGTTACCAGCAGCAGCATAAGGCACAGGGCATCACAATAGTAACCTGAGGTCTGATCCATCATATCCAGGGGTTGGCTGTGTGAGGGAGGTGCCAGATGAGATAGCAGGAGTGCAAGGGGATGCTGATGGAGTAGGAAAAGGGAAGGGAGAAGACACACTTGCCAGGGAGTTGGGGGCGACACTGAATCTATTTGTTATTTCTATAAGAGGGAAGTGTTTTTCATCTACTACTTACGAGAAAATGCTTGTCTGTCAGATATTGTTCTAAAACTGAACATCCACATTAAGACAGACTAAGAAGAAGGATTGACCCTCCACTTCCAAAATAACAAGTCTTCGAAAACGCTATGTATAATAGAGCACACTTAGAGCCGACTAGCAGACATGGCATGTGGGGCTGAGCAGAGACACAAAGAAGGAAGAGCAGGTGAAAGCAGACACTGCTGACTGGAATGTGGAATATGAGAAGCATAAATATAGGGAAACAGGACAACGTTAAGAAAGAAATGGGACACATAAATATTGACATATTAGGTATTGGCAAAATTAAATGAATTGGCATGGGATATTTTGAATCAGACAATCGTATTTTCTACTACGCCAGAGATGAAAAGGTGAGGAAAAATGGAATCACATCAACGTTTGGAGTTCCGTAAGTAAGCGACCTAGGTCTTCTTTGCTTCAAAAGAAAACAATGGGAGCAAATCTGAGTTCTGGTTTAATAAGTGTATATATGACTTTCCGTTTCTTTATTTTTTAGGGTTTTATTACTATTTTTGTGCCTATGTATTTGTATTCTAAAGCTGTCATGACAAAATACCATAAAATTAGTAGCTCATAAAAAGAGAAATTTATTCGATCACCTTTTTGGAGGCCAGAACCCAAAAGCAGGGTGCTAGCTTCTCTGATCCCATCATTGATTCCTAGATTGAGGAAGCATTGTGAATTTACGCGCTGTAGTAGCTTCTGGTGATTGACGGGGCTCTTTGATAATCCTAACAGTTCCCCTCTACCTCTAATGTCACATGGCTGTAGTCCTTTCATATCTGTTTGCCTGTATCTTCTTTTATAAGAACAGTCCATACAAACTTAGCCTACTTTAGTCTAACTTTATATTAATTTCATTGATACATCTTCAATAATCCTGTTTATAAATAAGATCACATTTGTAGTACAGAGGTTTAAGCTCCTGTGTATTTTTAGAGGACACAATTCAACCCAACCTTATTCAATATTGGAATGATTAAATACAAAACATACTCTGGAAAATATACACATTTTCAATATCCTTGTTTATTTAAAATTTTAGATTGTTATACCTAGTCTGAAACTATAATCAACTGTAAGAGACAGGTTTGAGTATTTTTCATGAAAATAATTTGTGGAATATAGTGATTAACAAATGTTTCAGGACAATAATACTAGTAAATCAAATCTTTTTTGTGCTTTGCATAAATATATCAGCTTAAATATTTCATTTGATAATTTAAGATATTTATTAAATATTGTTCTGTACTTGAAATAATTTATACTTTATTTTCCTGTGACCTGTTTCCAGCCCTTAGAATATATTCATATTAGTGACAAGAAAAAAGGAGAGCATTATGATATATTGATAAATTTTGGCTTTCAAAACCTTAATATTAGATCAATGGCTAATATTTCCATAATATAAATATGGAAGGCAAAGGAAATAAAATGGATTGATTTTTTTTTTTTAATGCCCAAAAAGCTCAGAGCCAAAAACATTGTAACTTTTCTGAAGGACAATGTTAGAAGCTTTGTTAGGCAGGTAAAAGTGAATATAATTAAAACTGTGGAAAACACCAGAAAACTGCTCAAGGGAATAATCCATTACTGACAAAGGGTATAGATTATATCTGCTATTACTTCATGACTTTTATGTATAAATTGATTTTTTTTTCTTGCTATGTGTGGATTAATTAAAATCCTTGAAAGAGAAAAACCAAAGTTCACAACAAATACCAACTAGATTCTTAGATTCTGGACAACTTCACTTAATTCTCATGATAAAATTACAGCACATGGTAATTAGGGATAACATGTAGTGTGTCCAACTCCTAGGACTATATAAGGAATCACAAACTAGAGCTGCCTTGATTATGCTCCAATGACCTGAGGGCCTTTTTATTATGGGGTTTTATACCCTCAGGGCTTGGTAAATGCCAAATGCTTAATAAATGTTAGTTAAATGAAAGGTGACTTAAAAAGAAACTTTCCAAAGAGCATTAGGAAAAATTTGGTGCACTATATTTTAATCTTCCTGGGAAATCACGGGGAAAAAAGTCTAAATTATCATATCAATTCTGCAATGATATTTCTTTCATAAAATCATTTCTTCATTATTTAATTCATCAAATGATGATTCAGTGTTCCAATCTTAAACACAATTTTCTTTTCGGAGTAAAACGCAGGTAATTTAAAGGGAAAATTCGCTTAGGTTAAATTGATGGGGAGCTTGGGCTGAAGGTGAACCTAATATTCATACTGTTTTTGTGCTCATTTCTTTTAGCCTAAGCAACGAACATCTATCGTGTCGTCTCTGGATTTTCATCGAATGAATCACAACCAAGAATATTTTGAAATCAACACGTCTACAGGGTGCGCCAGCGTGACTTCCAGTCCTCCTGTTAGTCCGCCCACCTCCTCCTTGGGAGCGGCAGAACTCAAGGCCGAGGAAGCTGATCGTACAGGTAACAGGGTAACCTACACGACTGAGGGTGGGTTTTTTGTGTTTTTTTTTTTTTAATTTTTCAAACCTAAGAATGTCTAGTGGTTTAGTACATAAGATTTGGACGCTAACCAAAAGGTCAGGGCTACTAATCCTCCTGCAGCTTCATAGAAAAAAGAAATGCTCTTTCGATGAAGAATTACAGCCTCAGAAAGTGAATGGAGGGAGAATCGCAGTGCATTGGAATCAACTCCACAGAAGTGGACTTGGTTTGAAATCTTGAGGTAGATGAAGTAAGAAGAATTTTTACCTAGATTTCACTCTTTTGGGGGTTGGTTAATTTAGGTATGTGGCAATTTAGAGATAATTTTATCAGAGTGTGGAAAAAAAATATATATATATAATAATTGTAGTTACTGTTCATTGCCACTCTCCAGTGGGTGTCCAGAGGCTATAAATCACCTTTCTTCTGCAGAGCAACTGGTGGATTCAACTTTGGTTTGTCAGCTCAACTCCTTAACTTCTCAGCCAATAAAGCTGTCATGAGTGTGTGTGTGTGTTGTGTGTGTGTGTGTGTGCGTGCGCGCGCGCGTGTGCGCAGGTGCACGTTCTCGTGTGCACTAGTCTCATGTCTGACAGTTCAAATCAACTAGGCGCTCCAATGTAGAAAAATGGGCAGTTACCTCCCATTGTGATTTTCAGCCTTGGGAAACCAGAAAGGTCACTATGAATTGAAGCCAAATAAATGACAGTGAGTTTGCTTATATGTGGGTTGTGTGTTTTGGTTTTGGGTTTTTTTTTCCCCACTGTAGTGGTTAAAGTCATGGTATAATGATACTGGGGTGTTAAAATAAACAGATGTATAAATGCTTTTCTTGCATTGCTCTTTTCTCCTCTGTCACAATTTTATTCACTAACATACTACTTTGTTAATACCACTTTGAATCTAGAGAAGCTATCTCTTGCTACATGGTAAGACATTTCAACAGTGTGGTCTAAGCCTACTTTTTACCAAGATGAATTTAGAGAAAAGAAACATTAGAGAATCAGGCTAAGGATAAAATTGGGAAGGGTGTATACCAGGGATGTGTCCTGTCTCCATACCTTTTCAACCTGCATGCAGAACAGATTATCCGGGAGGCTGGGCTCTCTGAGGAGAAGTGTGGGGTCAGGATTGGTGGAAGATTCGTCAACAATCTGCGTTATGCAGATGACACAACCCTGCTTGCTGAAACTGAGGAGGACCTGAAGTGCTTGCTATAGAGGGTCCAAGACTGCAGCCTTTAGTATGGATTGAGGCTCAATGTCAAGGAGACAAAGATTCTCACCACTGGGCCAATTGGCAGCATCAGGATGGATGGTGAAGAGATTGAGATTGTTCACAGCTTTAGTTTACTTGGCTCCACAGTCAACACTCTTGGCACCAGTAGCCAGGAAATTAAAAGACGTATTGCCATGGGAAAGACTGCTGTTAGGGACCTCTTGAAAGTACTGAAGAGCAATGGTGTCTCCCTGGAGACTAAGGTGCATCTGATACAGGTCATGGTCTTTGCAATCACTTGTTATGCATCAGAGAGTTGGACAGTGACTAAGGAGGATAGAAGGAGAATTGATGCCTTTGAGCTGTGGTGCTGGAGAAGAGTATTGAGGATATCATGGACCGCTAGGAAAACAAACAGATTCATCATCCTGAAACGGGTTAAACCAGGTGGCTCCTAGGAGACAAGGATTCTGAGCCTCCGTCTGACATACTTTGGACATGTTGTAAGGAGGGACTGGTCCTTGGAGAGAGACATCATGCTTGGTAAGGTGGAGGGACAGCGCAGGAGGGGAAGACCCTCTATGAGATGGATTGATTCAGTGACTGAGGTAATCAGGTGGGTGTGTTGGAGACAGTGTGATTGGCACAGGACAGAGCCGAGTTTAGGGCTGTTGTATATAGGTTTGCTATGAGATGCAAGCGACTCGATGGCACATAACAACAACAACAACAGCCATACCTATTACTAAAAATGTGTCTAGTTCTACCATGTCAGACTTGCAATGCTCTCTTTCTTTGAGGAGAAATTAAAAAATTTTAAAAACAGAGAGAGAAATGTAAGAAGTGGAGCATATCAAATCTCTGCCCCTTATATCTAATTTACTGTAAATTATCTTCTTTCATGTAGATATATGACTTTTAAACTTCATATATAAGTCTAACCTAAGTTTTTAAAATTGATTATTTCCCATCTATGCAGGAATTTCACATACGCTTTGCATATATTTCAAATCAGGTATTAATTGAGTCTCTGTGTGTATATGGGTAGTTACATTCTTATACACAATTAAGTACTTTAATATAACTGTATATTTAAAAGCACTTTTAGAAACATCTCAAAAATATAATCAGAGAATTGTCTTGCCTCTCTGGTGATACAGTAGTAAAAAGCTGCTCAGTAATCCCTACGTCATGGGGTTCGAATCCACCAGCTGTGCCATGGGAAAAGGATAGGCAATGTCCTCGCATGCAACTTACTGCTTCTGAAAACCTGCTAGAGTGTTAGTTCTGTGTTATGTTCAGTGGGAAGGCACGGAACAACGAAAAGCGGGACAGGGAGCTCTCATGACAGTGGTAAGGAGCTGAGCCGCTAACCCAAAGGCACGCAGTTCAAACATTTGAGCTGCTCCTTGGGAGAGAGATGGGCCATCTCCTCTGTGTGAATTACTGCCTCTGAGAACTGCTAGAGGGTCAGCCATGAACGGATTCTTACTCAGTGGTGTGTAACATCAAGGGAATGCTAAGATTTTTAGAAATAGATTGTCATTAAAATGGCAAGATTAACATTTTTTAGAAATTATTTTACAATCCTTGTATGGCATCATTTCTTATGTCAGTTTGAAGACAAGGCACATTTGATTCAGGCCATGGTCTTTTCTATCACTTGCTATGTATCTGAGAGCTGGACAATGAATAAGAATGACAGAAGAACAAGTGATACCTTTAAATTATGATGTGTGTGGAGAAGGATATCATGCTCTGAAGGGAGGAGGGACAATACAGGGTGGGAAGACCTCACTGAGATGGATTGATACAGTACCTGGGGCAGTGGGGGCGGGGGTGTCAGAGCCAGTGAGACTGGCTCAGGACAGGGCAGGCTTCAGAACTGCTGTACATAGGGTTGCTATGGGTCACAAGCAAGTCAATGGCACATAACAACAACAACAAGATTATAAAAATGATACTTTTTCCTAGGAGATAAATGCCTTACTTTAAAATTCCTACATTTTAATTTAAAGAATATGTACCTTGTCCACTCATATTTCTACTAAATAGCAAGCCACTCAAAAATTTTTGATAGAATATGGAGGTGACAAATTCTATTAGGAAACCATGGAACACATTACTTAAATCTATTTCAACTGTTGGAAGGTCTGAGGCAGTTCTTTTTAAAGGTCACACCTTCACATCTTGATGATAGCAGTCTTGGATGGCGCCGCTGAAGTTCTGGCAGCAATGAAATGTGTGTGATTTTATCATCAGTGGGGTCAGAGTGGAGAGAGGGAACAAAAGGTTTGGGACTAGATCTATAATTTATTTAAATAAAAAAAGGAATGAGAATTAATATTCTTATCTACCTGAATTTATTGTTAAAAATGCAAAACTTTAATAGTCCAAGAAATACACAGAAATAGTGCAGTGGCTAAAATAAAGTTGAGAAAGTAGACTTTCTAAAAGTCAAGTATCAGAATACTTTTTATTCTTCCCAGTGAAAAACTTTAAATCTGGAATCAGTAACTCAAATGAGTATTGACTCAGAACCAAAAATATGTTCACCCTTTCTGGAGACCACACACCATGCTTTCCTCTCCTACAGAACTGCTTCTGGTTCATGGCTGCCACATAGTCAACAGGAATACTCACTGAATGAAGAGTGGACTTCATAAAGAATACAAATATTTATGTTGATATTATAATGATTAATTCTGTAAATTACTAATATTTATCTAAGTGTTTATCCTGTGAACCAAAAACATCATTGGTTTGAACATACCTGCCACTTCACAGAAGGAGCTAGACAATGACTAAGGAGGATAGAAGGAGAATTGATGCCTTTGAACTGTGGTGCTGGAGAAGAGTATTGACTATACCATGGACTTCTAGGAAAACAAACAGGTTAGTCCTGGAGAGGGTGAAACCAAGTTGCCCCATTAGAGGTGAGGATTTTTAAGCTCTGTCTCACATAATGTGGGCATGTTGCCAGGAGGGACCAGTACTTAGAGAAGGACATCATTCTTGGGAGGATAAAGGGAGAGTGCCAAAGGGGAAGACCTTGGATGAGATGGATTGACACAGTAACTGAGATAATATTGTTAGGTATGTATGAAACAGTGAGACTGGCTCACGATAGGGGAGTGCTCAGCGCTATTGCGCACAAGAGTCACTATGAGTTGCAGCCAACTCAGTTACACATAACTCAACAACAACCACCTATTTCATACTGTCCTATGTAATCTAAAGATTAATTTCAGTATTATAAAAAGTGTGATTAAAACAGATCCTCTTTGGAGTTAGACATGAATCATGATGTGAGCAGATTTTCATTTAACTAGAGATGTATCAAGTATATGTGCTGAAAATGAAATGAAAATCTGGATTTTAGCCTAGTTTTTGTTGTTAAATGTCATCAAGTTGAGTCTGACTCACGGTGACCCTATGAACATCAGATCTGTACCTTATCCTCTCCTGTGCCATCGTCACAATGTCTGACATCCTTGAGCCCATTGCTGCAGTCACTTTGTAAGTCCATCTGACCGAGGGTCTTCCTCTCTTTCTCCAACCCTCCACCTCTCCAAACATAACGATACACCTCTTTAAAGGAATAGCTTCTCCGAACAACATACCCTAATAGACTAGAGATGGTGAGAAATATGTCATCAGCTATAAAATGCAAGTGGGCTTGAGAGATACAAGAAAAGTACTAATCAGTAGGTTGTTGTGATTGATTGGATATGAAACAGAGAGGAGGAAAAATTCTGCAG